CAGAGTCTTAACTTTGATAAAGAATATCTCTTTGGTTTTGAGACTTTAGTCTTTGCAACTTCAGGGATCTTATCTATGCACAATCAGCTTGTAACACTCCAAAGAGAAAGGAAAACTTGAAATCACATCATATGACCCCCTTTAAGAGTCTGAAGCGGCTGTATACATTTTGACAACAGCACCCCCTAGCCAAATAAACAAATTGTGTAACTCTTTTCCACATCTAGGATTTAAAATGTATCTTTTTTTAGCCATCTCATGTGGTTTTTGCATTTTAAAATCTAATATTTAATCAGACTCCTTAACTAACTCTATATATATTTTATCATTCTCTCTTAGTGCTGCGGAAAGGGCAGGTTGTGACGGGGTACTATCGCTGGCTGCAGAGGAGCGGAGGCTATCTCTGGATTCAGTCCTGTGCCACCGTGTCCATTAACCACAAAGCGCCCCATGAGCGTAACGTCATCTGGGTCAACTATGTGCTCAGGTCAGTTTCTTAGTGACCTTGTGTGTTTGTGTTTTTGAGTGTTGTGCTACAGTAAAAAAAAAAAAAAAAGTTAATGTGCTGAGAGTTTCCACAGAGGCCCTCGTAAGTGCTCTTCCTCTCCATCTGTCTACAGTAATCTTCATCACACAAGTGTACACGTTCAAAGAAGTCAGACAAAAACAAGAAAAAAATTGGCTGAATTTCAGTGATAATTGGACTGGTGCTATATAATTACACCAAATGGATGTCAAAATTTTCTGGCTGAATGGCGTTTTAGTTAATTAGCTTTGTAATTACGATAGCTAATTAACTTCTATAGCACCCTGCTGGAGCCATGTTCATGTTCAGAAGGGCTTTTCTAGTGTATGTGTGTGTTTGGAAGCGGTATCACAAGCGAGTATTTCTCTTACCGTGCTGTTAATCTCTGTGAGGAGGAAACTCTGTAGCTGTGTTCCAAAATCTAGTGAACTGTGTTGCTGCCTACTGGTAAGGTACCTTCCTGTGGCCCTGTTTACACTAGTGCGTTTTCAGTTTAAAATGGCGTTTTAAAATGAAAACGATCCTCGTCTACACTTGCGTTTTCATTGCTTTTCAGAAACGATCTCTGTCCACACTACACAACCGAAAACGCATGTCACATGACTATTCATGCAGGTACAACAATGAGCATGATGTTATTGTTTACACGGTCGTCAAGGATGCGCAGAGCAAATGTGGGCAGCCACGCCATCGTTTTCAAAAGTCTCCGTTTTGGCACGTTTACACTGAAACGCAACCCCCGGAGTTTTCAAACTAAAATGTGGTCTGCAGCATTTTCAAGAGCCGAAAACGCGGGGGTAAATACATTTCATCACTTCTCTCGATCTGTCTACCATTTTGGATATATTTTTTCCACCTTGTAAAATGTATTTATAGAGCACAATTAAAAATGACAGTTGACCAATGTGCTGTTCAGTGATTTAAAAAAAAGGATGCTAGACCATATAATACAAAATAAAATAAACATAAATTAAACAACAAGATAAAACTACACACTATGTAACAAGATGAGATGCTGACTTAGAATTAAGCTTGCGCTGGTAGTCGGTGTTACCGGTGTTTGACCGTACACTGAATACATTACTTGCCTACTGTGGTACCGTCCCCACTGTTGTTTTGCTTTTTATAGAAATAAAAACCATTTAGTTCAAACTGAAAGCTTCTGCTCTGCTCCATACAGCTTGCGCTGCAGAGTGCAACACAGTGCAGAAGGAATCAAAGTTCACTGATCACGTGAAGAGACTGAGAGAGGCGCTTTCAGTGCGAGCGCTTCAGGTGTATAGCCTTATTTATACTCGCCACGTCCACATGATCGCAAAGGTGTGTGTGGCAAAAATGACATCAATACTGAGGAAACAATGACTGACAGAGGATTTGGTTTTCAAGTGACATGTAAAAGTAAAGTAAAAGATTGTTTCTTTAACCAGAGAATATGAATATGTTGGTTTTCTTTGTTTTCATTTTCTTTTTGTTTTCATTTTGAAAAGCCTGTTGTCTTTGATATTTACCTGATGTTACGCTACGGAGGCTTTTAAAAAATGTTTTTTTGATTTCACAGTGTTTGCTAAACTTTATGTAATGTGGTGTATGCCATGCCTCGTCTTACTTACTTTTGTTAATAAACATTTTATAAGCTAGTTTGGTATTGTACGGTTTTATTGTTGTTGTGCAGTTGTGGCCTAATGGTTAGAGAGTCAGAGTGTGTGTGTGTTCACTACTCACTGCTGTGTGTGCACTTGGATAGGATAAATGCAGAGCACAAATTCTGAGTATAGGACACCATACTTGGCCACATGTCACTTCTTAATAATCTACAATAATGAATCTATCTTTCAAGCATTCGTTTTAGTCTTAAAGGGTTAGTTCACCCAAAAATGAAAATTAGGCTGTTTTACTCACCCCCGTGGCATCCTAGGTGTATATGACTTTCTTCATTCCGACGAATCCAGTCGGAGTTATATTAAAAATTGTCCTGGTTATTCCATTTTTGTAAGAAAAATATCCATATTCAAAACGTAATAATCACTTTAATCTAGCTTGCGCCAACGGTTGTACACGGAAGCAGCTCCGGGATGGCGTATGAGGTCAGCGTTGCGCATGCGCCGTTGAGTCTCGTGAAAACCAACGTCTGTTAACAGGAGCAAAGGAAGCAAAGTTTCCTTACTTAGATTAAATTGGTTATTACGTTTTAAATATGGTTATTTTTCTTACAAAAACTAGGGATGCACCGATACCACTTTTTCCAGTACTCGCCCGATACCGATACTTTTATTTTTGGTACTTGCCTGTCTGTTGTTCTGTTGTCAGTGTTTCTTTGTTTGAATATGGCACTTATCACATGCTGTGTGGTATCGGCGTTTGGTATCGGGGCATTTTAACGAGTACGAGTACGAGTACAGGAGCTCAGTATCGGGCCCGATACCGATACCGATACCAATATCGGTATCGGTGCATCCCTAACAAAAACGCATCGATTTGCTATAGGAGACCTTTGTTCACCCGCCGAAGCTGTGTGAGACACTTTGTTTTATGGATGGGCACTTTTTATTTCACCTTTTTTGGACTGAAGCACTGCAACACCCGCTGACTGCAATGATAGAGCTTGGAATAGCCAGGACAATTTTTAATATAACTCCGACTGGATTCGTCTGAAAGAAGAAAGTCATATACACCTAGGATGTCACAGAGTAAAACACTGCCTAATTTTCATTTTTGGGTGAACTAACCCTTTAAAAAATGCAAAGCCTGTACGAATACTAGAAATGGTGAAAAATAATTGGGAATCATTTTTTTAAAAAATGGTTACACATTTTATTTATTTATTATAACTTATGTTATTTTGCCTGCCTGATTATCTTTTCTTGTAAAATGTAACACCAAGATTGCGAATTCAAAAGCGAAAATGAAAGCATCCGAATTACCAAGTTAGTATTTGTACAATCTCCTGTTGTGTGATTAAACCATACTAAATTATTGGAGAATGCTCCGTTAACCTGTGGCGCAGGGTTTAGCATTTAGACTGTTAAATGTGTAAAGCTCCCTGAGGTAAACTTCTCGCACTCTTTTATCTGTATTTTCAGTCAATCAGAGCTGGCAGACATGCCTCTGGACTTATTACAACTCCCAGAAAGCCTGAGGGCAGAGCGGCTTCAAGCAAGCTCATCCCCACGCGACACCTCTCCAAAGGCACAAGGTATGCTTTTAGCCCCACATACACACCACACACACACTGGTAGTACGTTACTCAACAGCCCAAATCAGCAGATTTTCTTTACTCTAGGCTCCACAGGGACACAGCCATTGAAAGGCAGGACTGAGACAGACCACAAGGGGAAGGAAGCCTTCTCGCACACTGCTGCCAGCCAATCAGAGAACACCAGGAAGAGATCGCACCAGTCTGATGCTGAAAGCGGTCCTCGTGAGGCAAGGAGGCGGATGGAGGTGTTCCGGCAGAGAGAGGACAGCCCATGTACCTCCTCAGACCAAGCCAGCGACAGCGAGGTGGAAGAGGACGATGAGAGGGAGAGCGAGTGGGACCACAACCCCACCAGCAAACGGGTGAAAAGAGAAGAGAGGCCGTTGAAACAAGGCAATGGGGCCAATGGAGCAGGTAAAATCCACAATGGCCGTGCAGTGATCCAGCATCTTAAGAGTGCGGTGACCAGTTCCGGGTCGAATATTAAGACTGAACAAGAAGTGATGGGAACAAGTGTAGGCCCAGGTTCTGGGAGGCGCTGGAGCCAAGCTCAGCCCAGCAGAGGAGGAACCAATGGCAGCAGTCCACCTTCCCATCCTCAGAATTCCACCCCGACAGAAGCTTCATCCAAGGGTCTGTTCAACCCCCCCTCCCCAACCCTGTCGCCACCCATCCCTGCCTCGTCCTTGCCCAGGGATGATCGGTCTATCCACGGAGGGTGTGCTCCGGACTTTGAACTACTGCAGAGACTGACTGCAAGTGGGGCTGCAGGACGTGTTTTCTTTCACCCTCTGGCTCTTGGCCCACAGGGGCCCCAGAGTCTCTATGCTCCCAGCACTATTCGCTACGCCCCACCTGAGATGCCTACAGCTCACGCTGAAGGGCACCACTCAGACCATGTGGCCAAAACTCCCGCTTTCTTTCCCCACTTGCAAAGGATCGCATCTCTGCCTCCCTTTAATGGTTTTTCTCCAGCTGAACCCACTTTTCCTCCAACTTTGCCCTTCTGTATGAACGGACTGAGGGGGGCAGCAGGGACAGATGAGGATTGAGGGACAAAGACAAAGAGAGGAAAAAAAATGTAAAGGCGAGTTGGAAGAGGTCGTAAAGGACAGGACACAACGTTGAGAGAGGAACTGCAGAAGAACTTGAGGTTTTTCAAACAGTCTTCCTAGCATCCTCTCCAGACTTTGCTCTGTTAATTTGTTAAAGTGTGTCTTCCTCTCTCTGGACAAGCAGTCAAAGCCATAATGAACATATGAAGGACATCATGCAACGTTCACAAAGGGGCCATCATTGAGGCCTAAACCACTGAAAATACAGGGCCGTCATGTGAAAGGAGAGCCAAGGACGTTGTCCTGGATCCTTTGATAAGGGATGCATACAAATGTCTTCGACCCCTAGGGAGATGGGCCCACCTATACATTTTTTCCAAGTCCCCATGACTTAAGATTTAAGAAACCACACAGGAATATGCAAGTATGGACAAAAGCAGAATGGCGGCTATTGCCAAATAAGACATTCCTAAGGAAACAATACATAAGAAAGCACAGTCCACAGGTCCCTGACTGAGGGGTCGTACTGAAAATAAAGATTAGAACTTTTGAACAGTGTAGAATTTTCATTTTTGTATAAAAAAGAACTGTCTTTAAACATCTAAAAAGAATTATTTGAAAAATGATTAATTCAAGGTCATAGCCATATATAGATAACGCTGAGTTGCGAGACTCCATACATGCAAATGCTCCAAAATATTTTTTTTTTCCACAACTCATGAGTAAATATCATGGACTAATCTTCCTATAAGACATTTGGGGGTTTTGGGGGGTGGTGGTGGTAAGTGTGTCTATTTGTCATATATCATGTCCAAGCACTTATAGTATATTGTTGCATACACGTAGCACTTCATCCATGGCCAGACATTCTAGTTCTCCTACTGTAAAAACCACAAGAATTAAGTTTACAGTAGTTGTGCAAGAAATGTGACGATGATTCCGAAAACTAAAGTGTGGAGAACATTGTCTGTTATATAAAGGTGAAATGTTTTATTTTAAAATAAAATATACACTGGTCTTATATCACAAACTTTGTCATAAACATGTCCAGGTCATATTTCACTTAAAAATCCTAAGAAATTAATTATATTTAGCCTGTGTTATGACATTATTGAAATGTGAACTACAAAAATATTACATACAAAAAACAAACAAGAAAATCAAGTAGACGCATTATTTGTTGATAATTTGGGGGGAAATGTGTCCAAATTTCATTAAAATAATACCACACTGCAAAAAGTCTTAATGGTCCCATAAAATTATTATAATTTTTTTTTGGATCTTGGGGTAAAATATTACCTGTGACACTGTGAGTTTCACCCCACAATGTAAGGCTAAGGCACACTGTTCCAAAACCTAGTGAGCTGCGTAGCATTGTAAGGCATCTTATATGCTCCTGATGCGAGATGTAGACAGTAAAATTGAGATACCTCATTTTGGCCAGATTCTAAGGTCTCATTTCATTGTAGATCCCAGAATGCATTGCAGCAATGTTTGTGTATACAATATATTCTTTGTGCTCAAAGTATTGTTGGCTTAGAAACACGCTAACGTCAAATTATTGAAATAAAAGAGTTTTCGTTTGTGTACTTTTTGTCTGTAGATGTACAAAGCGAGGCGGCTCACTGGATTTTGGAGTCAGTGTAGAACAATAAGATCTGTGTAGTTTAAAGATGTAAAAATTAATGAAACCGTATGGGTACCTTTCATGAAGGATGAATAGATGACAAACAAATTCAATCCCTTTTACTTTAGGTTGTAGTCACTAAAATAGTTTTATGAACAAAAATATGAACATTGTAAGTGGACCACAAAAACAATATTAAGTTCTGGTAACTGATGAAATCACACTGAAGATAACAGAATGTGGTTTAAGCAGTAACTAACTACAAGAAGTTTCACCATGTGAACATTTTCTGTTTTTTTTGTTGTTGTTTTTGTGTATGCGGGTTTTTCTGCCCATGCAGTATTACCAGATATGATGGTTTTCAGTAGCACTAAACGATATGAGATGGTTTTTATTTGTATTTGTGATTGAGGGCAAATATGTAAATAGTTGAGAGAATCAGTCCTGAAACATCAGCACGAGTTGGTGTTCCCTTAACCTTTACCATCACTGTGATTCTAACTTCTTTATGATGAGATGTTTGTGAAAATACAGAACCATGAGCATTAAATGAAAAATACACTGTAAAAACGATTATGATAATCCAAACAACAATAATAAACTCTATTCCAATAATTTATTTGTGCTGTCGTTTTGTCCTTTGCATATTCAAACTTGAGCCGTCAAGATGGCGTGGTTTGACGTCAATGACACCAAATGCCAGTGGTTTATGAATAAAGGAATTAAAAGGGGTCTGGAATTACATGAGGGTGAATAAATGATGAATGTTGAATCCAAACCCATGACTTTTTGGTTTTAAAAAATCAGTAAATAATTGTACTGGTTGCTTGATTCCATTGTTTACAAAATATGGAAACAATTTCCATATTCTGGTCACTCTATTCACAGTGAAGGAGGACTAAAGCTTCAAAGAGCAACACAAAGTTTATAAAAGTGGTCCATTTGTCTTGTGCGAATAGATCAGAGGCAGCGAGTTGAACTAGAGAACCGGATCAGTCTGTGAAAGAATCATTTAGACCAGGGCTGAGCAACTTCGGTCCAAGAGGGCTACTGTCCTGCACAGTGTAGCTTCAACCAAAGCCACTAGAAGGCAAGCCTGCAACCTTTAGCCAAAAAAGCGTAACGGCTAATGCTAACGCTTCCGGTTTGCCAGTACGTGGGAAAGGAGACCAGAGGCCATTTTTTTTTAATGGATGTCAATGGAGGAGAGGATTCACTATGCTGAATAAACAGCTTTTTAGAGGAAACAGCTTATAATTTAATGAATCTACAACCTAGCAGCTAATCTCCAACATGCTTTACACTAAGCAATACTTTTGGATTGAACTATTTTTAGAGTTTACACTGAAAAAAATGCTGTTTTATAAGAGAAGGCACTGACTTTTTGCAACAAGTGGGATACAGCTTACGCCATTTCTCAATCATTTCTATGGTATCCGTAAACGGCAATTGAGTGTCGCACAACTGTGACTGAAATTCAATGACGTCAAGGCTTTAATGTGATTGGTTATTAAGGCACACATGATCCAAGTTGACCGTTACGCTTTCTCTAATAGTAAGTAATACAGACCCACTCATCTCCCTATATTAAGACAATCCCTGCGTCTCAATGTTCATACTATCCATCCTAAATAGTATGTGAGATTAGAATAAGTGTGTCCCAAAGCATAGTATGGTGAAAAGAGTATGCCAAAAGTCCCCGGATGGTCTACTATTTCAGGTCGATTTTTGAAGTGTGGATCCGCGCACACTCTAATGGCTAATATTGCCCACAATCCATTGCGCTTTGGTGAAGGATTCTGTCCAGAACTACAAACACGAATAAAACATGTTAAAAACTACAAACATGGCGGATGTGCGCGACCGGCGGTTGGGTAGAGAGGCTTAGAAAAAGGGGTTTGAGTTACTAATATTTAACATTTAACCTGGTAAAATATTTATTTAATGTTATCTGTGTTATATTTCATCTGCAACAGCAATGTACACTTTTATAAACATCCGTTTGGTCGTTAACTTTTAAATGCATTATTATGCATAAAATATGAGCAGAGTTCTCCGCATGAAAGACCCGCGACTGGCAGATCAATGTGCTACTACTTTTCTCTCCAATACGGTAGGAAGATAAATGAAATGCAATTTGGAGGATGTTAACTGTGACAAGATGATTGACAGGCCAGTTTACAGTGACAGGGTGCGTGTATCTATGCGACAGAGTGATAGTATGTCCCAAAGCTTGCCTACTCTTCTACTACACACTCAAAAGTGTGTACTTTTTCTTCACCAAAAGAGTACATACTTTAAGGGCGTAGTATAAGTAGGCACATTGAGAAGCAGCAAATCTCTGGCTTCAACCCTAATCAAACACACCTGCCTGTAGCTTTCTTTTGATCTTGAAGACACTGATTAGCTTGTCCAGGTGTGTTTGATTAGGGTTGGAGCTAAACTCTGTAGGACAGTGGCCCTCCAGGACCGTAGTTGCCCAGCCCTGATTTAGACCAATGCTGCAAACCAGATCAAGCAGTTCATTAAAAAAATATGACTCAAAAGAATAATTCGTTCACAAATCGTACATCACTACTTTAGTGTCAAAGAGGTGGATTTTAAAGAGAATGACGACAACTTAAAATTTATTCAGATTCTTACACAAAGTATACTATAATATACTATCAAGGGCCTTTTTACGTCCATTTTGAAGCCTTAAAAGCTTCTGTCCTCATTGTAAATGCATGAAAAGGTTTGGTGTTTTAAAAAAAAGAAAGTAAGTACAGGTTTGCAGTGACGTGATGGTGAGTAAATGGTGCCAGAATTAATTTTCTACAGAGTGATCCTTTCAAGAATAGCCTAAAAATTACAATGGCAAAAAAGTACACCAGTTGCATGCTTGGAAACTTTAAACATTTGAAGTCACTGTCTTGAATGGCGTGAAGGGGGTTGCTTTTGGATTTGAAAAGTGAACATTCAAAAGGGATTAGCAATCGGCTATTATCTTGTGTAAATTTTGTAATCCGCACCGGTCCATGTTAACAAGTTCAAAAGAAGAGGAAAAGAAAAGAAAGATGAAAGAACATGGATCGAATTGATGTGATAAGCTGCTTTAACAACAGCTCCCTCTGGGACCACATGTAAGCTACCCAACTCTGTCAACTCTTCCGCTCCGCTCACAATAAAGCCTTTTGATTGGCGTTCATCATAATCCGTGTACAGATTCATAACTCTGGCTCCATGTCTTTGAAGCGGAGTCGGTGAGCGGCCTGCTGTCAGAGTAATAGGCCGGAGGGTCGAGACAAAGGCAGACGTTGTGATTGAAACGCGGAGCGTGCTGGTGTTAGCGATGGTGTTGTGTTGTTTCAAGAAACCCCAGGGAGGGGCTCTGACATTGAAGACGGGTTAAAACCTGTTTTACATTCAAGTGGCAGGCCTCAGTTCATTAGTGTGAGGATCATTCCCTCTTGACGACTAAAGGAATTGCATACTAAAGAAGCAGAGTTGTTGGGGAGAAAAGGCGAATGGCCGGACCGTGTGCGTGCGCATAAGATAACTCGACTGTGACCCAAAGTTTCTCCTCTAAAATATCCTCCACGGCCATCTCTTAAGAGCAGACTGACATATAAATAGGAATTAGTAACTTTTATGGGTAATTTTGGCAATAAATAGGGAAAATATTGTGGTTTTCTGTGATCTTGTGCAGCAAATTCACATATTACGACAATAACAAATTAAGTTGCGTTAAACGTACTGGTTCCACATGATGGAAATGCCGCTCTGTGCGATTATGAACTCAGTTCATGTAACACAGGTGTGTGTGAGTCTGGCTTGTGGGGATGTGTGTTTGGGCGCTGTGCCCTTTAGCCATGTGGCGGTCCCTGTAGACGCCCTGAATTTGAAGCAGAGCTGTGTGCGCTGAGGGAGAGACAGACAGACCGTGGGGCCTACTGCACTGAGACACGCCCGGAATCAGTAACTAACGAACTGCACCAAAACACCAGAGAACGAGGAGGAGTTGGAGAATAGGCAAGAAAAGGATGGAGAACGTCTGACATGTTTTCACTTCCCTCTTCAGCTCTCAGTGTTGAGGAGTAAATAACTACAAGCAGCAATAACTACAAGCACCTGTAGCATACAGGTGTAACTACATTTATTAGCAGTGGTGGAAAGAGTACTAAACATTGTACTTAAGTAAAAGTATTGCTACTAAAGTAATAATTTACGTGAGTACAAGTAAAAGTACTGAAAAATAATGACTTTAGTATTATTTTTACATTTTTTACCCAAAATGAGGCGATGTGTGAGCATTATGGAGTATTAAACACTCATGTAATATCTGTTTCATAAGTGAGACTCATAGAAGTAGGCTATTAAACTTATGACGTTCCAGGAAATCTTGTATATGGACAAATGCATCAGATATCACTACAGCTGAATAACAT